GGGACTTTAGAGAGTTTCCTTTAGAATCTATCGAAATCAAAACCTTCAGCATGCTGAGATCCAGACGCTGAGATCCAGACACTTTCCATGTTAAGTTTGAGTTTTGCACTAGAAGAACACTAGCTTGTCCCTGCGGTTGAAGCGGTAGGCCCGTCAGGCCGAGCCCCAAGTATCTGTTAAAAATCTCAAATTAACAATTCCATCTGCAGATTCTAATGTGATGGATTTTGTGATATTTCAGTGTAAAATTCATCTTTTAAATATTATCCAAAAAAATCACACTAAAACCACAAAAATAAACTACACACTACATTATCAGTTAGGAGCACATGTTCAAGCAGATGGCTTTAGAAGCACCACCTAGAGGACTTCACTACATATTGCACTTATATAGGAAGTAAGTGGATGAATCCCAAATGGCTCCTAATTGGACATATAGTGCACTACATAGGGTGTATACAGTCCCCTCCGAAACTATTGGAACAGCAAGGGCAATTCATTTGTTTGTGCTGTACACCACAGACATTTGGGTTTGAGATCAAAAGATGGATATGAAATGAGAGTTTTAAACTTCTGGTTTTGGAGACGATAGAAAAGAGAAAAGAGCGAGAACTTCCTGGAGCGTCTTTATACTGAAGGAAAAGGGAAAAAGGGACAAAACATCTTTTCCCACAGGATATAACAATCTTTACCAACATATCAGTTCAGACAGGATAATATATTACCTGCAGTTATTTCTACTGCTCCATTTATAGAAGAGAAGATACGCCTTTACGATCTTTCTGTAAAATATTATTGACATGACGGATTCAGAGTAAAATCCCACTGCGGGAATAATGACGTCACACACCTCCACATGGAAAACTAATCCCGTATGAACAGGAGTGTGGATAAGAAGCAGGGAGCTGGATCCCACTTCTGTGTAGGACACGAAGGACACTAGGAGTTTAAACTGTCTATAATTACTGCACTAGACCAACCATGAGGATCAGAACTGACTGTGTGTGTGTGTGTGTGTGTGTGTGTGTGTGAGAGAGAGAGAGAGAGAGAGAGGGAGAGAGAGAGGGGGAGAGAGAGAGAGAGAGAGAGAGAGGGATTACAGCACAGCCCTCAAACACCGTCATCACAAATGTAAACAGTAATCATGTAAATGTAAACAATAATAGTCCCTATTTTAACACATGAGAAACACCAGCGGACATTTTCAAAATTTTGTGCGTGTGTGTGTGTGTGTGTGTGTTATAGCGGAGAAGGTGAGCTCTCTGGGGAAGAACTGGCACCGTTTCTGTCTGAAATGTGAACGCTGTAATAAGATTCTCTCTCCTGGAGGCCATGCTGAGGTAAGGAGCCACAACTAATGACCTTTGACCCCACTGCCTCAGAGTTGAAGGTGAACAATGAGAATCAGGAACAGGAACAAGAGAGACAGAGCACTGTTTAATTTAACAGAGCGAGAGAGAGAGAGAGGGAGAGGGAGGGAGAGAGCAACAGAGAGAGAGAGAGAGAGGGAGAGATAGAGAGAGAGAGAGACAGAGAGAGAGGGAGAGATAGAGAGAGAGAGACAGAGAGGGAGAGAGAGAGAGAGACAAAGAGAGAGGGAGATAGAGAGAGAGAGAGAGAGAGAGAGAGAGGGAGCGATAGAGGGAGAAGGAGAGAGAGAGAAGGAGGATTTGTGGAATGAGAGTGAGACATTCTGTGCCAGTGTCTTCAACAAAAAATATAAATCATCGTATTATTAACCACACACACACTCACACACACACTCACACACACACACACACACTCATACACTCACACACACACTCACACACACACACACTCACAAAGTATTCATTTCAGCTCCTTTTCAGATCAGCCTTCCTGCTTTTCCTGCTATTGTTATAAAGTTTATAAACAGTTGTATGCAAAACTAAAACTTTAAAGTGAAAAAGAAGAAAACACAACCTCTGCAGCATACTATTTAAAAAAATGAACATTTTCTGCAAAGGTTACTTTATATTTGACGAACTTAAATATTACAAAAATAGAGGTTAAAAGAAGAGATAGAGGAAGAGAGAGTACTTTGTTGATGCCCAGGGGGAAATCTGGTGTCACAACAGCCACCAAACAAGAGCAACGGGGACGACTAAGACTTTCACAAGACTTTAAAAATGCACAATAAACTCACAATATACCACAAATAAGAGAGAATGAAAATATACACATAAAAAGCTCTTCAAGTTATTTACAGCCTAAAATACTAATTTAGATTTACATTTAGGAGGCATGGTGGCTTAGCGGTTAGCATGTTTGCCTCCGGAGTTCGACTCCCGCCTCCGCCTTGTGTGTGGAGTTTGCATGTTCTCCCTGTGCTTCGGGGGTTTCCTCCAGGTACTCCGGGTTTTTTCCCCAGTCCAAAGACATGCGTTGTAGGCTGACTGGCATTTCCAAATTGTCCGTAGTGTGTGAATGTGTGTGATTGTGTCCTGCGATGGGTTGGCACCCCGTCCACGGTGTCCCCCGCCTTGTGCCCCGAGTCCCCTGGGCCAGGCTTCCGGCGACCCTGTGTAGGATAAGCGGTACAGAGAATGAATGGATGGATGGATGGATGGATGAATTTACATTTACGGCATTTAGCAGATGCTCTTATCCAGAGCAACTTATAGATGTTTTTTAGAGTCTCTGTCAAAAACACATCCTCATGCTGGTTCACTAGCTCAGGGCCGAAGAGCACCATCAGTCTAAAACTGAGGGGAGAAAAGACAAGAAATTATTTTAACCTAAGTGCTAATTTAAGTGCTTGGTGAAGAGGTAGGTCTTTAGTTGTCGTTTGAAGGCTGCCAGTATGCAGGTCTTCCTCGTGCCCTGAGAGATGGAGGGATCAGTCGAGCAGTGCTAGAGGACCGGAGGGAGCGGGGTGCAGTGCGAGGTGTGATAAGAGCTTTGAGATAAGTGGGTGCTGGTCCGTTTTTGGCTTTGGAGGCGAGCTTCAGTGTTTTAAATCTGATGCAGCAGCTACAGGAAACCAGTGGAGGGAGTGCAGCAATGGGGTGGTGTGGGAGAACTTAGGAAGGTTGTGCTGCTGCATTCTGGAGAATGGAGGCTGCCAGGAGATCAGTAGATCAGTCTTGAAATGCCAAGGACTGAACAAGCACCTGAGTGGCCTGTGTGGATAAAAATCCTTCTAATATTGTAAAGGAGAAATTGGCATGAGCAGGTCTGATTAGCAATATGAAGCAAGAAGGACAGTTGATTGTCCATGGACAGTTGCTTGTACCCCAAGGTTGCGTGCAGTGACAGATCTGAGATCTGAGTGTTGCCCAGGGAGAACACAAGATCTTAACAAAGGGATCCATCTCCAGGAATGTACAGCAGCTCATGGCCTGCGATCCATGATGGGACATGCTGAGATCTTTCAAGAAACTTCCTCTGAGGGAGGAAAGGAGAAGATGAGTTGAGTGTCATAGCATAGCAAACCGTGAGACAATGGGTATAGAGGACACGACCTCGCCGGGAGAGCGGGTATAGAGGACACGACCTCGCCGGGAGAGCGGGTATAGAGGACACGACCTCGCCGGGAGAGAGGGTATAGAGGACACGACCTCACTACGAGAGCAGGTATAGAGGACATGACCTCACTGTGAGAGTGGGTATAGAGGATACGACCTCGCCGGGAGAGTGGGTATAGAGGATACGACCTCGCCGGGAGAGTGGGTATAGAGGATACGACCTCACCGGGAGAGTGGGTATAGAGGACACGACCTCGCCGGGAGAGCGGGTATAAAGGACATGAGCTCACCAGGAGAGCGGGTATAGAGGACACGACCTTGCCGGGAGAGCGGGTATAAAGGATATGACCTCACCGGGAGAGCAGGTATAGAGGACACGACCTCACTGCGAGAGCGGGTATAGAGGACACGACCTCGCCGGGAGAGCGGGTATAGAGGACACGACCTCACTGGGAGAGCGGGTATAGAGGACACGACCTCGCCGGGAGAGCGGGTATAGAGGGAGAACAGAA